GCAGTAGAAAGGGAGTTTAGGAGCAGGTTTAGACCACCGAAAGGTGTGTTTCAGACCAGGTTTGTAGGGTCAAACATCATCGCCGATCAAAATTATTGCTGGTAAAAAAAATGTCTATTTTCATAAAACATTCAGTACTAGTCAGTTTACCTACCAGACTTACCACCTACAAATTTGTGTGTGTGTGAGCATGTGTGCGCGTGTGAAACAAAACATGCCCATTTTATACTCGGCCTGAAACGAAAAGAAAAATATATTCTCAGTGGTAAAAACATGAAACTACTTCTTTACGCAAATGTATCTACTGCAAGGAGTCTCACTATAGCCTCCACAGCATTGCAGCTGATGTTGGAAACAGAGTATAAATAATTGCAGTGCACTTCCCTTGGGAGAAGTTTGTTATCCCCATGCTGGTTAAGCACACCACTCAGCTCATCTGTGCTTGGTCTGGAGCGAAGTGGAGTTGAGAAATTCCCACAGCGAATCCGCGCGCACAGTACAGCAAGCTACCCGGCAGCGATGGGGTGGGCAGCATAGGCGCCGCACTGCATGCAACTAACCAGGAGATGATCAAAGTCCAAGCGACCACTCCGTGTTGCAATGAAACTGTCAGTTGTTGCTTAGTATCACATTGCCGTAGAGAAGCGCACATATGTATCGCAGAAAGCCGATAGTGTCGGTTCTGCCGCTATTTCAGTCGCTGCGTATCCTGGACAATGTAACAGTTTCGAAATGCTCCTTGGCATCGCCACTGCATGCTATGAAACGATCGTGCGAGAGTGCCAGCCCACTATCTTTCCCACACTCTGGCAAAAAGAAAGACTTTCTGGATGGTACTTTGGGCAACATCTGCTATGGTACTGTATCTGTTTACTGGGTGGTGATGGGGCATGTCAGGAAATGCACATTTGCACTTGTAAACACGCACTTCCGTTTAGTGCATGATCGTGCCACGTTCCTGGCAGGTACAAATTATCAAGGTTTCACTGTATTACTAGATAATTAAACATTACTCATGTTAGTGCTACCATTTTTGCGGGGAAACCACGACAATGACAACAATAAGACGAGCGCTAGTAAGCCCCGTGAATGAAACGAATCACAACGTGATCTAACTCCACCGAATATGGATGCGGCTGAGTCCTTGGTGTAGCCAACGCTCATTGTTTTCGGTCGACGATAATTATCAGCTAAATTTCACGGTTTACACTTTTGATGGACAATTATCATGGGAATTGCCGTTTCTGTGCAGCCTAGTGTAGCAGGTCAGCTTGGCGCAGAATGGCGCGATTGACGCAGCACTTCCACCCCTGCATTAACCAATTTTTGTCTAGTAGGGAGGCATCCACTATGCAATTCTTCGGAGAAGCGTGGTAAACATTACACACTTGCAAGAAATGTGCATTTCGTTGATGCTGTGGCTGACGAAGAAGAATTATGCTTGATGCCTTTGTAATGCTTCGGAGCATTCGATGACTCATTCGTTACGCACTTTGCATAGCTCGACGCCTGGTTCTTCCCTTGCTGTTCTAAAATACTTTGTTACACACATTCATGTGGTTCCTTCCCAGATATAAAGCCCGCCTAGATAACTTTGCAACAAAGTTTCAAGCACTGGCGTAGCTCAGTGTGGAATACTGGGCTGGCACACAGGGGGGCCCAGGTTCAGTCGGAATGTGTCGTCAATGTTTTATATTTATATTTTTTTTATTCCCCACGATAGTGATTACAGACACCGATGGTGGTGGACAGCTACGGCCCCAAAAGGCGCCGTTGTAGTGATCTCGCATAGCTTTCGCTGTAAGCGGCATTTCAAGGACCATATAACCTGTTTCAGCAGCCAAGCTGTACAGTCAAACCTCGTTAGTGCGTACCAGCTTTAAGCATACTAACGGTTAAAACGTAGTTGCGACGAATCCCCGACAGAGTCTCATTTGCAGACCGCTTAAGCCGTGGTGTTTGGCGTATGCCTTCCGGTTAGTGTGTACTATCTGCGTACCGCGATAACATTTTGCACGCCAAAATTTTACTGCTCCGCTGAACTTGCAGACGCCACCATGTGCCGTGAAAAATTTTCCGTCATGTTGATAAGTGCGGAGATCAGCCAATAGGTTATTATGAGTTACGCGCGATTGCGGCGATGACGCTGCAAGTAGCCATCGGGGAAAAAAACGAAGGCGAGATGGCAATCACCTACAAACGTGCCGGTATGACATATTGCCGGCGAAAAGCCTTGTCACAGTAAACATCCGCGGTTATCTCCTCAAGCCATGTCTCAGGCATGCGTGTGGCGTAGCGTCACTTTAGGCCTGCTGCACACTTTTAGTGGACGACTAATGATGATATGTGGGGTTTAACGTCCCAAAACCACCATATGATTATGAGAGACGCCGTAGTGGAGGGCTCCGGAAATTTAGACCACCTGGGGTTCTTTAACGTGCACCCAAATCTGAGCACACGGGCCTACAACATTTCCGCCTCCAGTTAGTGGGCGATTACCTGAACACACAAACACAGGCACCCACCGTACAGTGGGCATAGCGCTGTTGTTACCATGTTACACACTTTTATTTAGTGACAGCCGAAATGTGCATCCGTGCACTGCCAGGACTGTTAGAGCATCGCGGAGAACACATTGCTTGCAGAAAGCTCTTCGGCGTCGCGTTAACCCAGCAGGCTACTCTCCAAATCTGTACAGCAAGCGAATCGGCAGTCACGATGTGCGCAGAGTGAGCGAAGCGCCACACGCAACTAGCCATGCAGTAAGTGATTCGATTCTCTGTGACTGTAGAGTGTTCTAAAGAAGAAAACTGCGTCAGTTTTCGCTTAAAAGCAGACCGTGGAACAACTGTATCACGGACAGCCAATTGCGTCCGTTCTGTCCACGCAGGAAGGAAAGTTGTTTCTTTCCTCCGTGGTTCTGTCGCTGTACCACGCTGTATATCCCGGATCCTGCGGTGGTTCCGAAATGCTCATCGGCGTCTCGATCGCGTGCTATTGGGTGGTTCTTTGAGAGCCGGAAACTTTTCGGTACCTTGGCAAAAAGAAAGAAATGGTTTTTGCGGTGGGCACTTAGGGCAATATTTCGCACGGCACTGCGTTTCTACTTTCGTTGGTGGCGATGGTGCATGTCAGTCAGGGGATGCAAATTTGTAGCTGGTGGTTAATGCGTAGTACGTTTAGTGCGCAGTTATGCCGCCATCCCCAGCAGGTACGTATTAACAAGGTTTCACTGTACACAGTGTCACAGAGTTTCTTATCTCAATGAGAGAAAGGATGGGACAAGACAGAGAGGAAAGGCAGCGATGTTAACTACCTCTCTGCTGCTGAATGAGGCTTAAAACTGGTGTTAAGTGCCAAACCCTCCGGAGGCCTCCCCATGGGTATTGTGGCTTAGCTTGCTCCTCCCTGCCATTACTGCTTCGTCACTGCTTTTCTTTACCTATGCACACTCAACCACTCTCCATCGACACTGAGCCATCTCACTGGTGTCATTATTTTACATCTTATGCAAGAACCCTGTAGCAGCTTGGGTGTACACAGAATATCACGGTGAAGACTAACTTACTTGGAGTGTTTTCATAGTAGGTTTCGCAACTGAACAGCCTTGAAATGTGGCTTCTTGACTGCATAAAGTACAGCTGCTGAGAGGTTGCATTTACTTGCAATTATTGATGCGAAGGAAGGACCGCACCCCAGAAAAAAGCCACGTCCTTTTTGAGGAGATCGAAGTGGGGTCGAGCAATATCCACGAAATTGACGACAAAGCGGCAGAAGTATGAGCAGAGCGCCAGGAAGCTGCGGACCTCTTCTGTAAAACACGGAACAGGGAACTCACCAACAGCGCGGACTTTGTTGGGGTTGGGTTGGACTCCAGTAGCATCAACAATTAGGTCAAGTAGCTTAACTTGACGGTGTCCAAAAGTGCATTTCGACGAATTCAACTGGAGGCCAGCATGACGAAATATGTCAAGAATGGCCAACAGACGCGGGAGGTGGCTTTCAAACGTGGGCGAGAACACGATAGTCCAAATAGCAAAGGCAGGTTGACCATTTAAAACCGCGTAGGAGAGAGTCCATCATGTGTTTGAAAGCTACAGGAGAATTACACAATCTAAACGGCACAACCTTAAATTAGTAAAGGCCATCGGGTGTGATGAATGCAGTCTTCTCGTGGTTGTGGTCAGTTACTGAAATTCGCCAATATTCAGATCTAAGATTGAGACACGAAATATACTTGGCACCATGGAGGCAGTCGAGCGCATCGTTGATTTGAGGCAGGGGATATACGTCCTCTTTTGTGATTCGATTGAGAAGGCGATAGTCGACGCAAAAGCGCCAGCTGTTGTCCTTTCTCCTAACTAGCACCACAGGTGATTCCCAAGGACTAGATGAAGGCTCTATGACGTCTTTTTAGAGCATTTTCTCTACCTCCTTCTGAATAACTTGGCGCTCAGCGTGCGACACACGGTAAGGGCATTTGTGAAAGGGACTGGCGTCACCGGTGTCGATACCGCGGCTACGAAACTTTTGCGGCCCAGTGTACAGTCGTCAATGTCGAAAATATCGATGTAAGAAAGCAAAACACTACGCAAGGCTTCAACTTGGGAGGACCAAAGGTTACTGGATATCATTTTGTCTAGGAATGTTTTATTGTGCGCTGCTATGACACCTTTAGTCCCAGTGTTTGCATCAGAGGTGGAGGAAGAAATTGCACATTCTTTGACAGTTGAAAGCTCTGCTTGTGTGACGCCTTTGGGAAGAACTTGGACTGACGTTGAGAAGTTTAGGACAGGAGAAGAGTCTTGTTGTTGGCTACAACCACAACAGTAAAGGAAGGGCTATGATGCGGGAAAAAGCGAGGTCATTGAGGGGAGCTACCAAGTAGTTGCCATCAGGGACTGACAAAAAAAGGTAACACAGGGAAGTACACAGCAGCCTGAGGTGGCAGGCTGCTGAATTTTGTGAAACTAACTGCCCTTCACACAAAAAGGACTCACCTCCATGACAAGTTGATGTGCCCGGGCCACTAGGGTGAGTCCATTGCTGTGGTTGAAGGTCTCAGAGATGTCCTGCCCGAAGGTGTAACCAGCACCTCGGGGGGAGATCCCCCAGCCACCGCGGTCATCCGGATCCGACCACAGCAGGTCACACATGGGCCCCTGAAATATGAATTCTAAGTTGAGGGTACTTTCTACATGAAATCACCTTCAACTTGGTCCAAACTTATCAGCTGCAGCTGTCATAAAATCATTTGCTTCTGTGTACTTTGACAATCTTAGCAAATTATGAACTAGCCGTTTTCCCTAAAAACTTTGTCTAAGCTGAAGCATAACTTTTCTAAGCAACTGTCCACAATTTCTTCTTACGAATAACCATTTATTTCCTGAAGCCGCCAAGGTGGCTTAGCAGGTTCTGAAGTTGCACAGCCTAGTACAAAATTGCAAGTTCGTGGTCAGGGCAGCTGCCCTTTGATGAGGGCAAAAATGCAACGGAACCGATGTTTCAGAGTTCGGTGTGCATTGAAGAACCCTAAAAGGCCAAAATTTAAGCAGAGTCAAATGATTATGAGGCATTATGGCATGCTTCATAATTATTTCCTCACTTTAGCACATAAAACCACATACATTATTGTTCATTTCTTGTCTAACCTCTTTAAGTTTAGACAGCTAATCTTCGAACATTTCTTTTCAATCATAAATAATGCACCTAGTCCCACACAATATGCCATCCTCATATTCCTAAGCCCTACTTCCTATTTTACGAGAGTTAACAAGCACGCGAAAGTATGTGGAAGCTGCTTTTTTTTTTTTATAGACTTTTCTTACTCTTCAGAGTAACAATGATGCGAAACACACTGAAACATCGGTCATCTTTGCTTTTAGCTTTGGGCCATCTCAGTTCTTGTTTCAGCACCAGCTTGCCAGGATGTGAACTTACAGGAACTAAAAAGTGCAAGTGTGACTAAAAAACCAAGCAGAAAACAGGATCTTACTGCAAGACCTGCGACATTACGCTATGCTTTAGATCGAGGAACTGCTTTGCCGCAAGACATGCCGAACTGCCGTGCTTACAGCAAAGATTTATTTTCAAGAAAGTCCTGTTTAATGAGAGATGGTGCCTTTGTGCCGCAATCATCAATCTGGAAATTTATGTAACTTTTATAACATGTATCACTTGCCTAATGTAATATCTAATTAGTGAAATTGCTATATATGAAAAGTACTTTCATTCTGCTCTCGTTGATGGACCACATAAAATATCAGGTGTACCAGTACCTTCAGAAAAAACACCACCTATTTTTCTCGTGGCAGGAAAACGGTGAATATGCAACAGCTCAAATGAATCTGACCACTTCCCTGAGTGAGACAGGAAATTTGTAAAAATGAAAGCTGCCTGCTATACACCAGAACACAGCGAGCTCAGCATGTGCTGCCATATTGAGAAGCGCGTCGTGCCATCTGTTACAAGCGCGGCAAAGCGACACCTATACACTGCCACGCGAGCAGACGCTCCGCAAATCAAACGCGAAACTGCACAACCAGAATTTGGCTGTAAGGAAGTTTGGCGCTCTTCTCCTAGAATTTTGTGCTGATTTTTTGTGAAACGTCGAGGAGACCTTTCTCGACAGTTCGGATTGTCTACAGCACATGCACTGCAAACTTCGGAAGCAACTTCATCACTATTGCGATTGAAATAAACGCAAACAGCGGAAAGCGTTGCTTTCAATTCAGTCGCACTGCGGCGTGCCTTGGCTGTGGCAAGCAGAATTTGTGCTGTAAGTCGGCGTCAACGTAACTCTAGAATCTCGCTCCAACTTGTGCTCATTCACTGCATGTGTTTATCATTTGCCAACCAGAACAAGATTTTAAAATGCTACGGTGACGCCGACCGGAAGCACAGATTCGCCTAGTGAGCCAAGGCATGCCGCAGTTCAACTGACTCGAAAGCTGTGCTTTTCGCACTGTACACGTCTCTTTGCATCACTATTGTAGGCCGTTACAATTATATACGTGAGCGGTGCTTGCATCCACGCATGAGTCGAAATATATCCTATTACTGGCATGCAGCCTGCGTAAAAGAACGACAATGATTTGGTGCCGCATACTATACAGGCATACTGCTTGCAAAACGCTGCTGTAAAACGGAAACGCCGGGTCGCGTTTCAGTAAAGGCAATGATTCTATTTACTCATACACCTTTACTGGACTCGTAGTACTTCTGGCCGATTACGATTATATCCACTGGTGGCGTAGCTCGGCGTTTTTCGCTGCGGATGGAAATCTGTGCAATCAGGATAGACCACACCAGCACGATTGCCGCATCGTGTTAGAATCTTCACAGACAGTGCTTAGTAATATCTTACTCTTGCTCTGGTTGTTTTTGCATCCGAAGACGGTGCAGTAGCCAGATGACTTCTTATAAGCTAGCACAGCTTGAACAGGCGCTTTTTTCCCCTTTTAATGTCCCAGAGACACTGCTTGCCATGCTAGCAAGGCACGCCTTGGCAGTTGAAAACAAAATAACGCGTCTCTGGGAGCGAGGGCATACCGCCGAAGGAGCCTGGGTGTTAGATAGGCGTGCTCTCGTCTATAGCCATGTTAACTACACAAGATATGCTATGTATCCTGCATGGTCACAACACCCCCGCCATGGTGGTCTAGTGTCTAAGGCACTCAGCTACTGACCCGGAGGTCGCAGGATCGAATCCCGGCCATGGCGGCCGTATTTTAGATAGAAGCAAAAATACTAAATGTTTATGAGTTTAGATTTAGGTGCACATTAGAGGACCCCAGGTGGTTGAAATTTCCGAAGCCCTTCACTACAGCATCTCTCATAATTAGGTGCCAGCTTTGGGATGTTAAACCCCAATAATTATTATTAGCATTATGGTCAGGACAGGTATGCACCTGAACAAAACTCGGTAGCAGAAAGCATGCTCGTCCGTGGTACAGCTAGAGTATCATTACATTGCTGCTGCACACACATTGGGCAATGTACAAATACACATGCAGCAGCAGAACTTCATACAATACATGCATACGCATTGAGAAAGACCGGGCTAGTACACTGGAACACCGATCATATGACTTTCAGAGGACCACGCAAAACAGTCGTATAAGAAAAAAAAAACTAAGAATATAGGCAGTGACACTCAGCCTTGCCCAAAAAACGGGTACAGACCACCTGAATAAGCCTACGGCACGACCTTGTGCCTCTGCTAGAAAAGCAGGTTAAATTATTCTTGCCAGCGGCAGCTAATGGCAGCGTTACTTAGTTAAAGGATGTGCTAGCGAATCCTTATTCACAACATTAAAAAAAAATTGAATCCAACGCGCATCTTTCTATCGATAAATTAAATCCAAAAATTGCCAGAAGAGTCAGACACAGTGTCATTGCCATCACATAATGGTGACGGACCACGAGTTTGTGCAATTGCACAGAACGCTTTTGTGCGCGACTGAGCTGTGCGCGTTGTAGTTTGTTGCCTTGTGAAGTGCAACTAGTGACGTCCAGCTGTTATTATGAACGTTGACATCAAGTGAAACTAACTTTGCACAGTGAAAACAGCTGCAGTGTGCCCTCATGCGTGTGCAAGCCCAAGACTGCAAGTGCAACAAAGGCAGGAGATCAGCTGTATGTCGACCAGGAAATGTTTCTACGGACCGAAAACATGGAAATGTCAGCTTTTGGGCCAGCTGAAGCTACTCTGTGTGTATAAAGCTTGACTAGGTAAGGACTCCGGATACGTATGCACCCAATCGAGACTGTGTGGAAGCGCCTGGACTTCCAGGAGAATAAATTTTCCTTTCTAAGAAGACATCTGTCTCACTCTCCACTTTTTTAATCGTCAACCTAGGGGAACATAAGTTCATATTTTGCACTCATGTATATTTGGTTGACGTTTGATTCGAGTAAAGCTGTTTTTTTTTTTTGGGGGGGCAAAATCTGATGATATGATATATGAGTTTTAATGGCGCAAAGGCCATGCTTCGCCAAAGAGCGCCATGGACAATGATGATAAAAAAATAATAGTGCATGATTTGATGCGATATGTACAGGATATGAAATATGATACTGTTACGTGGCTGCAGAGAGGCCTAAAATTCCGCTCCCTGAGACGGGTTAAAAATACAAGTATTAAAATCATGAAAGTGATGTGAAATGTATGTAGCGGAAATAAAAGACAGTGTTCGTGGTAATAAAACTAGATTGGGTAGATATGAAATTAGCACGAATGCCTCGTCGATGCATGCCCTTGAGCCCAAGGGCAGCCAGACAGATGCTGTCTTCAATGTGACCACCGCAGCCTTGACCTCTGAACAGAGGTCGTGGTACGGATCACCTCGGAATATGGAGTGAAAACTGTGTGTATCTTTTAAACACATTAACTGTAATTCAAGCTTAAAAGGGGTCCCAAACGATGAGCATGACAGGATGTAATGAAAGTTGCTGTCGGTAGGGTAATAAAAAGTGCTTTTTTCTTAGAGAGTAACTCATTACACAGAACAAATATGTGGAGAACCGTAAGCGATTCCCCACATCTCTCACAGATGGTTTGCTTTGCCGCCAGACAACAAATATGCATGTGTGCTCTGTGTCCTATTTGTAATCTGGTAAGCGTTGCTTGTGCGTAGTGTGATCTGGGTACTAGAGGCCGATTTCCAAGTCTCGATTTGATTACCTGTAATTTCGCTTGCGTTTGCCCATCCCATAGCCGCTGCCAACACGCCCCAAGCTCCCGTTGAAGAAAAGACTTCAGGTCAAGCGCAGGGGCAGCTATGGATGTATTGGAGGCAGCATTGTTTTGGGTGGATGCAGCTAGCTAATACACCAAGACATTTCCCCCATCTCACTGTGACCTGGCACTCAGCACACCACTACATGTTGTTCGAGTGTGTAGATCGTGCACAAAGACTGTAAAGCGACACAAGGACAGAATTTTCATGTTTTTGCAGAGATCTTAAAGCTTTTGCAACGCTCAAAAAATTCATGTATATAACTGCGCAATGTAGCTTTGATTCCTTAATCTGTTTAACGGCCGTGAGTATTGCATAAGCTTTTGCAGTCAAGGTGCTTAAATTATCGTGCAGAAAACCAAAATCACAAAAGGATGGACCAATGGCAGCATAGGACACACCAACAGAAGACTTTGAAGCAT